CATTGAAGGACACAAATGTTTCTTTAAATATTTTTGCTATCATAAATGTTGCTGCAATTAACATTTTGAAATCTTTTGATACATATTCCCAACTTGTTATTCAGTAGTTACCATTTTTCATTCCTAGCAGCACTGGGACTGCTTCCCTTTAGCTGTACCATCATTGAGCCTTATTTTTGATCTCATGCCAATCTAAAAGGCAAAAAGTGGTATCTTGTTGTTTTAATTTGCATTTCTTTGATTACTAATTAGGTTGAACTTTTTCATATGTTCATTGGTCAATTTGCATTTCTTCTTTTGTGAAATGCCTGCTTGGGTCTTTTATGTGCTTCTCCATTAAAGTGTTCTTTTCTTGATTAAATAGATTATATAATCATCATGTGTTGCAAGTATTTCTGTTCATTTGGCCTTTGCTTGTGACTCCCTTTTATGGGTCTTTAGGACTTTGTAGGCATTGAATAATTTTTATGTTAATTATCTTGATCTTGGAATGTCTGTCTGCCTTTGCTGTTATGCTTGGGGCTTTTTTATTATGGTTATATACATTTCTAATCTGGAAATACTGGTGCATATTATGAGATGGGGCTCTATTTTTTTCTTTACAAAAAATTAAATCAGTTTTAAAGCACCTTTCACTTTTTCCCAGTAAGCTTAGATTCTATCATAACACATTAGAGAATTTTAAAAATCATATAAATGTTTCTCTGGTCCATTCATTTCTCTACTTAAAGACATTTTTAATTATCATAACTTTATAAAATATACTTGACAGGGCACGATCTTCCCTTCATTATTTTTACAACATTTTTTTTAGTTAATGTAAGACATTTATTCCAAGAGAATTTGCAAATTACTTGATTAGGTTCCTTGTTCCTCCTTACATCAAAGAATATACCATTGAGATTTTGATTGAAGTTGTATTATAGTTATTAATAATGAGATTTCTGTCATATAAAACATGTAATCTTGGAACTTAATACATCTCCATTTAATTCTTTATTCTTAGTAAATTATAAATGGCTTTTCCCTCATTTTGCTAATTTATTCCTAAGTATGATATGCTAATGGATATGATATCTCTTTATATCCATATGTCTCCTTGAGTATAGACACATTTGTAACAAGCTTCCTTACTGAATATTTTTATTAGGTCTAATGATTAAGTTGACTCTTTTGGTTTTTACAAATATATTGTGATATAGTTACAATTTCAGCTTCCTCTCCCTCTACCACCAATTATTGTCTTTTATTTCATTTTCCTTATGGCATTGGCCAGAATGTCTAGAGCAATTGGGAACAGTGAAGATGATTCTATAGGTATTCTATTAGGTATTCTTATTTCTGGAAATTAGTCTGTTTTTTATTGTCATGCGATATTGGCTGTTGGTCAATATCTTTAAATTTTCAATTTTCTAAGAGGTTTTAAATTGGAATAGTTATTGAATTATTTGTTAGCCAAAATGAAGCACATGCATATGAAATAATTCCAGACTACACTACAAAACTTCAAATTAAAAGTAAAGAGTTTATTTTGCCCCAATTTTTCTTTCCCTCAATGGCTGCTTTTTCTTCTCTTACTTTTCTTCCTTCTTTCCTTCCTCTGTGTTCTTACTTGTTGTATGTTTTCCCACATAAAATGAAATTTATATGTGACACAAATTGTTGTAAGATTAGCCTAGAAGTTATTACCAACATAATGTGTATAAAGGGTTTAATTTTGAGATTATTTAAAGGATTTCTGCAAGTGACTAAAAAATAGACAACTAAATAGAAGTAGGGCAAAGCACATATAGAGGCAACTCTTGAGAAACTAAAATGGAAAGCACATGAAAAGATGTTCAACTTTGCTAATTGCTTGATTTTTTTTTTTTGAAGAATACCCACAGATATAGCCAAAATCAAGTTTATTTAGGCAGGAATATGGTGCAGCTTATCTACACATCCAGCTGTGTGAAGCAGACACCCAGCAACACCCCCATACTCAGACAAACTTCCCCAGCTTCACAGGACACTGTTTACTACATACTTCTTTATATACTACAGAGTGAGGAGTTTCCAGGACCTTGGACAGGCCTGCTCCATTCATTGTTGAGAGTATTGGAAGTAGGTAAGATATCACTGAACTTTCTCAAGTGTTCTGTGAGGGAGGCCACAGGCCTACCGGTTTGGAAGCATCTCACATGATGATCGGAATGGAGAGAGAGGAGAGAGAGAGAGAGAGAGAGAGAGAGAGAGAGAGAGAGAGAGAGAGAGTCTGCTTGCCATATACAAAATATATATCACTAAGGCACACCCCTAATGACCTTCCTCCTCCAGCCACATCCTACTCACCTTCAGTTACCACTCAGTTAAACACTGATTGTGTTAATGCTACCATAAACCAATCATTTCACTTCTAAATATTCTTTCATTGTCTCACAGATGAGCTTTTGGGGACACCTCACATTCAAACCATAGCAATATTACTAATTTATTGTGAATGAGTTAGGTATCATATCCCTCTGGCCAGCTTTTCTAATATATTCTTCCTTATTAGAACTGGGACTCCTTGAAAAACTCAGATGAACTTGAAACCCTATGCTGTTATAAGAGGCTATTTTCAGAGATAGGTTACCAAGGTGCTCAACTGGAGAGACTTACACTGATCAGTGGGTGATATTAAGAGGGAACCAAAAATTTTAGTTAATTGGAACATTATCTGAAAAAGGACTTAAATTCATAATATGATTAAAGGGCACAAATGATCTAAAATATGCTACAGCATTGTTTTCAAAGTGTGTTCCAGGGACTTTTTCAGGGATTAGTAAAGTCAAAGCTGTTTTTATCATATTACCAAGAATGTATTTGCAATAGTCACTCATTGTCTCCCAAGGGTACAGTAGAATTCTGCAGAGATGAATATGTCTGACATCCTTGCTCTGTAGGAGTGAGTGTATGCATTGTTTTCTTGTTGTTTGAAAAAAAAAGTCTCAACTTCAATTTCTAGTACAACAAATACAGATACTTATAACCTACACAAACAAGTTATCTGGGGTTCTTCATTCTTTAAGAGTACAAAGGGCTTCTGAGACTGATAGCTTGAGAACTGTACTAGAGAAAAGTCAATCTTACAATACAGATTAATTGATTAGTATTTATAGAAAAGGGAAGTCAGGGTGAATCATTCAATTCATAAAGGTATAAAAAGGTTTTGGCTCAAATAGTGCACTCCTTTGGTTAAAGTGATTATAATAATAGTGATGATTATTTTCTGAGATTATGAAATGTTTTGCTACACAAAGAAAAGCCTGCTGAATTGATATGTTGGGGGTCTTGTGTCCCTGAAGGATGGAAGTGGATTATAATCAGAGCTGAAACCTGAACTTTCTAGAGAATGTCAGGCCTGAAAAATGGACTTTGGGTTCTCCTTATCCTACTAAACAATAGGATAATCTTTGAGTGAAGGTTTTTCTATTGCTTTCTTTTTTAGTGGTACCTGTGCTTCATAATCAATCAGGCTATGATTTACAGAATGATTAGAGAAGGCCCAAAACTCCCAGAAATATGCAGACAATGAGTATCTTGGAGTGCCTCAAAGTCCTCATTCCAGTCTGAAGACAATTGCATACTTCAAGGAATGAAGAAGCTGAGACAAAGCTTCTACTTTCTATTGTTTTATCTGGTTTTTAATCTGTTTTTATTCATTACTTTTTCTATTTCGGGACACATATTTTGCATACCTAGTTATGTGAAGTTGGATGAAAAATATTACAAAACTTGCAGGACATTGTTACATTTCTATGAATATTCTTGTGCTTTGTAAGTTACTTGGAAGCAGAGTAATGCTTTTGTACCTTGTTTTGTAGGCTTGTTAGGTGGCAGCCTTTGGTCAACTCACTGATGGGACATTACTCTTTTAAATATTCTCCCCATTCTCCCATGAATTTCCATGATTTTCCACTTTGGCTGGTTGGATGCCTATATAATCTGAAAACTGTTCTCATAGTCCTATGAGTAGTTCTTTCCCTGGCCTCAGGTGTTGACTAATACTTGCTGAAGACTTGACACTTCTACAGATATTAAGTGCTCTCTGTGAAGCCTTTTCCTTTCTGGTAATTAGCCTTATGAATCCTTGTCACCTTGATATCTTGGACCCCTATTTCCCTCTCAGTCAAGAAAGACCACCAGGGTTCCCCTGCCTCCATTGTGGACTGGACACACTCTCCTGTAGTAGATTGGGGCAATCATGTGGTGCATTTTGTTTGTCTTCTCTTAGGGACCACTCTCTTCCTTTGTTACCTGAGGTCCAGTGTCTTAAACACTGCTTCTTCAGGTATCGTGTGTGGTTTTGTGGTGTTTCAGGTAGAAGTTATAAACAATCCATGTCATTCCATGTTGATCAGAAGCAAAAGTTTTGAAAGTTGCTCACACACACACACACACACACACACACACACACACACACACACACCACTTTAAAAATAAAGTCTGATTGTGGTTAAGATTTTTGAGTGCTTTTCTAGATTGGTAGGAATTCCTATGTTTCCTATTGACAGTAATCATACATGTACATCCTTTTTGCACATGTGTTACTTTTCCAGGAGGGTTCATTTCCTTTTCTTTAAGATTGCCTTCAACAAGTTGGCATAACTCACTTCTGTGAGTGAATTCTGGGTTTTTTTTTTTGCATTATTTTGTCACACATAGTACAAAAGAGCCCCTTGCATGATATTAATTTATTACTACAGTGTTGCTCAGAATTCTTCATACATTAAATGTTCTAATTCTGAATATTGTAGGCGTCGTGTGGCAGAAATGCCCTTCATTCATCCTATTTTTCCCCCTCATTTTGGAAAATAGACCCATTTTTTTTCTTCCCTTCCTGTCTCATGCAGGGACAGATGCAAAGGGAAAGCCACATAATTAAAAATGATAAAGATTTTCTGGGTCTTAACTATTGTGCATACATAGAAGATATGGATGTAATGGTTTTGATTGAAGAAAATAAATTTTCTTTTCAGGTAATTATAAATTTGATTTGCTATGTAAAGAAGAATCTCTTGAGCTCAAAAACATATTCTCTGTGAAGCTGAAGCGGCGTTGCTCTGCTAAGCAGCCAAGAAGTGGGACTTTACTAGGCATCACACTTTTCTTCTGCCTGAAAAAGGAACAGAACAAATTAAAAGATTGCACCCTTGATCTTATTAATTTAAGTGAAGACCACTGCGATGTATGGTTTAGACAGTTCAAGAAAATTTTAGCAGGTAAGTACTCCCGGGAGTTGTTTGTTTGTTTGTTTGTTTGTTTTTAGTTGTAGACGGACACAATACCTTTATTTATTTATTTATAAATGGTGCTGAGGATTGAATCCAGTGCCTCACATATGCCAAATGAATGTTCTACCACTGAGCCACAACCCCAACCCCATCCTGGGAGTTTCATCTATTTGATGTAGATTATGAATATACACATGCTATATTTATGGGTACAAACAACACTTGATTCTGTTGATGGCATCTTACTATTCCTAGTATGTTGAGTGTGTTTATTATAAGAGGGCATTGAATTTTGTCAAGTGCTATTTCTACATCAACTGAGATGATTATCTTTTCCCCCTTTATTCTGTTCATGTGGTATATTACACTGATTTTTCATGTATTTAACCATCCTTGCATTCTAGGAACAAATCCCAATTGGTCTTGGTGAATAAGCTTTTAATGTGCTATTGAATTTATTTTGCTCAAATTTTATTAAGGATTTTTACATCAACGTTCATAAAGGATATTGATGTGTAGTTCTTTTTTAGTATCTTGGTCTGAATTTGGCATCAGGTTAATGCTGGCCCAATGGAATGAGCTAGGGATTGGCTCTTGAGTGACCACATTCACAAAGAAGCTTCTATAATCTCAAATAATAGTTTTTAAATAATTTTGTTCACTTTCAAGTTACTTTTAGAAGCATATTTTTATATTCACATCTTTCAGCTTATTTTAGAACTTTTTTCTTCTAGGCACATATTGACAGCATAGTTTGTATTGATGCCTTGAGCATTTGAAAATAAGAATGTTTTGAAGATAATCTTTAAGGGACTTTACTTTTTACTGTGTCAATTGAGAGTTGTCTATCTTAGGGTAGATTTTTCTGAAGGTGAACATCTAAGAACATGCTTATTAGAATATATCTCATAGATGGACTCTGTATCTGAAATTTCTAAATGGCACTATTATGTTTTTCACACTAAACAAAATAATAAATACAATGCAATTTGGATTTTTAAATGTTATCTAGTTAAAATATGATCTGATTTTTAGGGTTGATTTATTTTTTTGTCCTCATAGGTTTGAAAAATATTGCCTTATTTCCTTTTAGCCCACTTTTTTCCTTTTTGCCAGATTGACCAGGGTAGTGGCAGCTGGTACTGCTGATGGTTTAGTTTGGGCTTGGATGACTCAGGAGAAAGATGGGTGCCAGATAACGAGCATGCACACAGAGATGTCAGAAATATTCAGGTCCAACATCTATGATCAACATCATGAGGACCCATGCTGGTCACTGGCAGGCCACTGCTAAGGTTATACCCATAGAAGATACCAATAAGCTGACATGACTGCATTAAAACTGGGAAGCTCTGCTGCTAAGTAGCCCCATCCTTCTTCATTATCCCCTTTGGGATCTTCAAAGAGACCCGATTCTTTCAAGAGGGCAGGAACCCACAGAGGCCATAATTTAGTTCATTCCTGAAAATGGAGAAAAATCAGTGTAATTAACTAAAAGCATTCCACTTTAACAGTGGGACTTTTACACTGTTATTCAAATTCATGTGAAAAGATAAAAGGTTAAAAATGAAAAATGAATCATTTCAATTACATTTATTAACATGACTAGTTATTCACTGGACTTGCATTGTCTGTAAAAGAAGCATCAAACTCTTCCTCACTCTGAAATCCTGATAAATCTCCCAGGGAGCTTATAAAAAGATGGCTAAAGCAACTTCTTTAATATATCTCACCAATAAAGCCAAAAGCAAGTAGCAGAAGATATCACAACAAAGCTCAATTCAGTAAAAGCAATTTTATAGGAGTGTGCCTAGCCATAAGCAAACAAAACAGCCCCCGATACACTGTCCAGATATTCAGCTTAATGATGTTTTGGTTTAATTTAATGTTAAAATCTAGACAGATTACAGAGATCACTAAACAACTTATTATCTAGGCTGTCATCCTTTGGGGATATTACTTCTTGTACTTTTGATTTTGATAAGAGTTGGAGACAGTAAAATATATAAGGTCATAATCTCTGCATTGGTCCTGAAGTAGAGTTAATTTGCTGATTAAAAGTAAATAGACTGACTTTTAAAACCAAGCAGTGCAAACAAACAACACAGGATTGAAATATTCTAATGAAAATGAAAACCAAGACTATCTGAATAAATGACTGTCTCATCTCTACATCCAAGGAACAGGGAGTCCTTATAGGAGGGGTCAATTTCTTATCTCCACTCAAAAGCAGTTCTGGGTCAACTTCATTGTGCACAAGTGAACAGCTGAAGCACCAAGACTCTCTGCCACTCATTATATTATATTGGTACTTCCTTTTTAAGATTTTATCCTCAGTTTTTCTTGCTATTTCTTTCATGTTCAGATCCATGAACTCCAGGTGTTTATTAAAGTGCCTATCATCTGACAGTCAAATACAACTGGATCAAACCTCTTTCCCTTAGTGGAGGAAGCCCTGAGTCCTTCTCAGTCTGAGATAGGACTATTGCGTACCTTTACCTGGTCTTCTCTGGCTCTGCTTTCCAAGGAGTTGGGTCTCCGTTTGTATTATCTCCCCCTCTTATATCCACTGTCCCTGTTATTTGATAACAGTGCATCAGATTTAGCAAATGGTGATTGATCAGTGTTTAGCCATCCCTGCCCCCTGAAAGAATTCCCCATCTAAATAATTAGTGTTTAGAGCTAACTTTAGGAGGTGATGAATTTTACATCACAAAAAAATATATTTGATTCACAGTTAAATATTAGGCAATTCTATTTTAGGTACAAAGACCTTGCTTTTAACTGGTTTTGTTGATGAAATCAATAGGTTGTTTTCAAAAATTGCTTTGACTTATTTTGGTTTTTATCTTTATGTAGCAAAGAGATTTTTTTTCCTGCAAGCCTTTATATCTCATCCCTTTTTCACTCCAAATATGAAAAACATGAAGAAGGAAGGCCTTCATATCTCAAGGGGTTGGTCTTTTAGTCTAATTAGTGTAACAATAATTTTATCATAATTTAGATATTATGAGTCATTTTCAAATATGCACATTTTCTCTTTGAATCAGAGCAATGAATAGAATGTGATGAATTTTTAAAAAAACAGACTGGCAGTACTGGGGGGGGGTGTGACAAAACAACCCTCAAACACTTGTGATTTTAAGACTTAATTGACAAAAGGTGACCAGATAATTGTAGGTTTATAAATATAAAACAATCTTAGAAGTCTATTTTTACCAGAAAACAAGTTGGCTCCTTTCATGTTCAACAATTCTGAGTGCAATTGAGTACAGCATCTTTTTTTTATTCTTAATAATAGAAAAGTCATCATAACTTCATGACAAGTGGGCAATAGAGGTTCATTCATCCAACACACATTTTGCATTAGACTCTGTGTTAAGAGTTGGAAATACAAAAATGAAGATGTACTCCTATATAGAACTCTAATTCTATATTCCTGTATAGAACTCTTTTGCCCTGGATACAGAATAGACAATTCATTGTATTAAAAAATGTATTAAGGGCAACAATGATGATATGAACAATTGAATAGGGACCACAACAATTGATTATTGATTTAGAGATTCAAACATTTTTTAAGTAGTTTAGATTATGTAGTTGTGTGGTGAAAGCAATTGAACATAGTCTTTCTACTTTTTTATATACCTGTGATGCAAAGATAAATATGCATAGACTTTAAATATAGCAAGAGTATACAATAGGTAGGTTGACTTTTATCCATTTAGTGTATGAGCCAGTTTCTGCATATTTGAGTTTCCTAGAAATGGTGACTTATGAACTCCTCTGAACACACTGAACCAAGCTTTTCCTTAGAAACAATTACCTAAATGTTAATGGATATTCATAGGCTTTCTGGCAGGCACCCTGTATGGGAATAAAGAACGCAGTATCCTGCAGGTGATATTTAGGGTCCTCAGAACTTGGCAGAAGTCAAAGAGAGAAATGAAATAAAATAATGGCAAAAGAAAACAAGAGTTCTAAAGGATTTGCTCAAGTGACTTGGAGAATAAAGATGCAGTTCATTGTAAAACACAGTTGACTCAAAAGAAAATATTCTATTCTTGGCCCAATGGGATGTACTACATGATGCAACTGGGGATGATGAACCACGGAGCACTTTGAGAGGAATTTATGAAGAAGGGGAGAAGAGTTTATGAAAATAAATGAAATCACAAAAGCAAGTAGTACAGATTTTTTTTTAAAAAAAGCAGAGTATTACATACAAAATCTTGGGGACATGCTTATATATTAAAATACAAATGAAAAAAGAGGAAAAAATGAAAAAAATGGTAAAAAAAAAAAATTGAAGAACCCTTTTAGCATAAGACTGTAAAATTTTTCAAAATGGATGAAGGACCTAGGAATTAGACCAGGGATTCTATACCTACTAGAAGAAAATGTACGCCCAATTCTCCGTCATGTCAGCTTAGGAACCAATTACCTCAACAAGATTCCTAAAGCGCAAGAAGCAAAATCAAGAATCAATAAACTAAAAAGCTTCACAGCAAAGGGAAAAGTCAAGAACCCGAACAAAGAGATTACAGAATGGGAGAAAATCTTTCAAACCCATACTTCAAAGCATTTACCTCCAGGATATATAAATAACTCAAAAAACTTAACATCAAAAACCTAAATAACCAAAATCAATAAATGGGCAAAGCAACTGAACAGGTACTTCAAGAAGAAATACAAATGATCAAAAAATATGTAGGGGCTGGGGATGTGGCTCAAGTGGTAGCGCGCTCGCCTGGCATGCGTGCGGCCCGGGTTCGAGCCTCAGCACCACATACAAGCAAAGATGTTGTCTCTGCCGAGAACTAAAAAATAAATCTTAAAAATTCTCTCTCTCTCTCTCCTTCTCACTCTCTCTTTTTTTTAAAAAAAAATATATATATATGAAAAAAATGTTCAGGGGCTGGAGTGATGGCTCAGTGGTGGAGTGCTCACCTAGCATGCATGAGGCACTAGGTTCCATCCTCAGCACC